TCCCCACCCTAGGGTGCTGGTGGGGGCCCCCCTGGAGCCGGGAGGTGCTGGTGAGACTGGAAGGGTCTATCGGTGCCAGTTTGGGACTGGGAGATGCCAGGCTGTCCCCATCACTGGTAGGGTGCTGGGGTGGCACCCCCAAAAAGCCTGGGCCCCCCAAAAGGGGTGTGGGGGTGGAGGGGGGGGGGCAACCCAGATGCCGGGGTCACCCATCATGCCCCTCTGCCCCCCCCCAAAAGCCCCTCCGGATGTGACCTCCATGTCTCTGGGCCTGACCCTGGCAGCCCACGGATCCCAGGTCCTGGTGGGTCCCGTCTCCGTCATGATGGTCGGTGGTGATGGGGGGGGCGGAAATCTGGGGAGGTGGGTCCAGCACCCCCAGGGAGGGGGCCCAGTGGGATCTTCTGAGCTCTCTTGGGGTCTACTGGGGTCTCCTGGGGTCTGCTGGGGGCTCCTGGGGTCTGCTGGGGGCTCCTGGGATCTCTTGGCATCTACTAGGCTTCTATTGGGGTCTTTTGGTGTCTACTGGGGTTCTATCTGGGTATTTTGGGGTCTGCTGGGGGCTTCTTGGGACTCTTGGGGTCTACTAGGCACTATTGGGATCTACTGGGGTCTCTTGGGGTCTACTGGGGTCTCTTGGGGTCTGCCTGGGGCTCCTGGGATCTCTTGGCATCTACTAGGATTCTATTGGGGTCTGCTGGGGTCTACTGGGGGCTCCTGGGGTTCTGTCTGGGTCTTTTGGGTTCTATTGGGGTCTTTTGGGTTCTATTGGGGACTCTTGGGGTCTACTAGGGTCTATTGGGATCTACTGGGGTCTCCTGGGGTCTTTTGGGTTCTATTGGGGACTCTTGGGGTCTACTGGGGGCTACTAGGGGCTCCTGGGATCTCTTGAGGTCTACTAGGCTTCTGTTGGGGTCTGCTGGGGTCTACTGGGGGCTACTGGGGTTCTGCTGGGGTCTTTTGGGTTCTATTGGGGTCTGCTGGGTCTCCTGGGGTCTCTTGGCATCTACTAGGCTTCTATTGGGGTCTTTTGGTGTCTACTGGGGGCTACTGGGGTTCTGTTGGGGTCTACTGGCGTCTCTTGAGGTCTACTGGGACCTCTTGGAGAATATTGCAGTCTGTCAGGGCCTGGGAGGGTTGGGGGAACATGGTGTCACCCCGTCTTGGGCCACAGGCATGCGGCCCCACAGCACGGAGGGCCTGTGGGGTGAACGTGGAGCTGCGGGGGCTCTGCTTCCTTCTGCCCGCTGGGAACACCCCGACTGTCCCCCTGCCAGGTATGGGGGGGGGGTCCCAACATTGGGGTGAGGGGTCCTATGGGGTAAGAAAAAGCCTGACCTTGGGGTAGATGGGCTCTATGGGGTTGATATGGGGTGGAGAAGACCAGACGCAAGGGTAGATGGGTCCTACAGGTTGGTGAAGACCTGACGCTGGGATAGATGGGCCCCACAGGGTCAAGTTGTGCATCTTTCCTCCACCACCCCCCATTTGTGTCCCCCCCCCCGCTCAGATTGCCCCGTGAAGGCCTCTGACATCGTCTTCCTCATGGACGGTTCAGGCAGCATCAGTACCTCTGACTTCGAGAGGATGAAGACCTTTATCATCCAGGTCATGAAGCGGTTTAAGAGCACTGACACCCGCGTAGGTGCCACCCTTCCCAGGACAGGGTCCCAGGCACCCATGGGTGGCCTGATCCTGCTCCATCACATCTTCCCTTTCTCCCCCCGGCCACCAGTTTGCCCTCACGCAGTTCTCCAGTACAATCAACCACCATTTTGACTTTGCCACCTTTGCCCGGTTGTCCCCGGCGGAGTGGGAGAAGAAGGTCCGCCTCATCACACAGCAAAGAGGACTCACCTACACAGCCACTGCTATCCAGGCCGTGGTGTAGGTCCCACCTTCAGATCCATCCTGCCCCCTCTCCCCTCCTCGGGACCACCCCATCGTCCCAAGATAACCGTCCCTTCCATCGCCCCGGAGCAGGAGGGAACTGTTCAACCTGAGGAACGGAGTCCGGGCAGGAGCTCACAGGATCCTCATTGTGGTGACAGATGGGCAGAAGTTTGGGGACAAGCTGGACTACGGACAGGTCATCGCTGAAGCAGAGCGCGCAGGGATCATCCGCTACGCCATTGGGGTGAGCAAGTGCTGCCCAAACATCTCCATCCATTTTTCCATCCACCTCCAACCATCTCCATCCATCCACCTCCAACCATCTCCATCCATCCACCTCCAAACATCTCCATGCATTCACCTCCAAATATCTTCATCCATCCATCCCCAAACATCTCCATCCATCCACCTCCAACCATCTCCATCCATCCGCGTCCAAACATCTCCATTCATCCATCTCCAAAAATCTCCACCCACCTCCAACCATCTCCATCCATCCACCTCCAAACCTCTCCATCCATCCACCTCCAACCATCTCCATCCATTCTATTCACATCTGTCCGTCCCGCCCTCTCCAAACACCCGTCCACCCATCCTTCCTTCCCTCCCTGAACCTCTCCATCCCTCCCGACACCCATCCTGCTCTGACCCCAGGTGGGCAGCGCCTTCGTGGATCCAGATGCCGTAGAAGAGCTCCGCACCATCGCCTCCAAACCCAGCGAGGACCACGTCTTCCAGGTGAACAACTTTGACGCCCTGCAGGGCATCCAGAACCAGCTGCAGGACAAGATCTTCGCCATCGAGGGTACTGGGGGGGCCGGAGGGTGGCTGGGGGGGGGCAGCCGGTGCCCCCCGCTCCCCCCTGCCCCCCCCCAGGCACCCAGTCTGCCGACAGCAGCTCCTTCCAGTTGGAGATGGCCCAGGAGGGCTTCAGCGCCCTGCTCACCCCCGTAAGTGTCCCCCGGCCACCTGAGACCGTCCCCATGCCCGTGGGGTGTCCCCGGGGCAGGACCGACTGCTCTCCCCCCCCACCGCCGTCCCCCTCCCTGACTTTACTGGTGCAGGAGGGGCCCGTACTGGGAGCGGTGGGCGCCTACGACTGGTCCGGAGGGGTCTTTGTCTACGGCAGAAGCGGGGAGACCACCTTCGTCAACGTGTCCCGAGCGGCCGGGGACATGAACGACGCCTACTTGGGTACGGGCTGCCTGGGACGGGGATGGACGGGTCCCCGCCGGGGTCCCGGTGGTGTCCCCTGTGAGGGTCCTGGGGATGTCGGCGTCCTCGTGAGGGTCCCCGTGTGGGGCTGGGGAGGTTGGGTTCCCATGAGGGTCTTGTGGGGACATGGGTCCCTGGCGAGGGTCCCCGTGAGCGTGCCGGGGACAGTGGCGTCCTCGCAGGTGTCCTGGGGATGTCGGGTCCTTGTGAACGTCCCCATGAGGGTCCTGGGGACATCAGTGTCCTCACAATGTCTCTGGGGACGTTGGTGTCCCCATGAGGTCCAGGGGACATCAGCAGCATCAACCTGCGGATGTTGGTGCCCCCATGATGTCCTGGGGATGTTGGTGCCCCCATGATGTCCTGGGGATGTTGGTGCCCCCATGATGTCCTGGGGATGTTGGTGCACCCATGAGGATCCTGGGGATACTGGTGCCCCCATGATGTCCTGGGGATACTGGTGCTCCCATGAGGATCCTGGGGATACTGGTGCCCTCATGATGTCCTGGGGATACTGGTGCCCCCATGATGTCCTGGGGATGTTGGTGCCCCCATGAGGATCCTGGGGATACTGGTGCCCCCATGATGTCCTGGGGATGTTGGTGCCCCCATGAGGATCCTGGGCCCCCATGATGTCCTGGGGATACTGGTGCCCCCTTGATGATCCTGGGGATACTGGTGCCCCCATGAGGTCCTGGGGATACTGGTGCCCCCATGATGTCCTGGGGATGTTGGTGCACCCATGATGTCCTGGGGATACTGGTGCCCCCACGAAGTCCTGGTGGTGTTGGTGCCCCCATGAGGATCCTGGGGATGTTGGTGCACCCATGAGGATCCTGCGGAATCCTGGTGCCCCCATGAGGATCCTGGGGATACTGGTGCCCCCATGATGTCCTGGGGATGTTGGTGC